TATCCTAAGAAGCCCCTTCCAGGTCCATCACTAGGTCTTAGTCACAGGCGACAACCCAAAGGCTACCTAGGCTGATCTGCCACTTTGTTTTTACTTCCTGCAGTGAAGTACAAAGGGTCAAATCAGGACGCATGGGCCAGGGTAACTAAAGAGCCAGGGGAGAACCCAAAGGCTCTGGTATTGCTTGGTGTGCACAGGTGTGATGGATATTGACAGAGAGAGAGAGCACGCTCACATGAGCATGGCAAGCATGGGAAGATGGAAGAAAATGGAGACTCAGACGAACGGGCTTTAAAAAGAATACATGAAAAACTATGATCACATTGATTTGTGCTTATTATCCTTGGCTCTCCTTTTTTTGTCTTTTTCTCACTGGTAGTGGTAGTGCAAAGAGGGGAGTCATTGCTTTTAGGGCCCAGAAGTAAAATAAGCAAATAGAATCTAGGATTGGGGAATTTGAGGAAGTCGCCCAAAACTGCACATAAAATGAATGAGATAATTATAGGCTGCTGATTTTTAAATGTAGCTTATTAAATTAACTCTCCTTTAACAGGCGTTGGAGACTGTCAGGATAGGGTGTGTCCTATTGTAGACATTATCCTAGAGTTGTTTCCACCCCTTGCCCTTGTATCTGATTTTATGTACTTCAAAATGCCATTAGTTCACTCCAGTGACTTTAGTTCTATTGACAATGTTAATTCTCTGCCTGTACAAACCAAAGGCTACTCGGGATAAGCTGATTTTTGTTTATTATCTGACAAGACTCGAGATTACACTAAACTGATTTTGGTATGTCTCCCTTCAACCTGACCATATTGGACTTCTCTCAGCTTAACCATCAGAGTTGAATGCCTTTTTGTATTATATTTACACCCGAAATAAAAGTCATGTCTAATTTAAAATTAGCTACAGTAGTTTGCAAAAGGATGCATGTAATTGTGCAGGTTTAAACTATTAGTAAATTGAAAGGTTGGTGTCAGTGATCACACACGTACTTTAGCTAAAGCTGGTTCCAAGTGCAAGTCTAAAGGTCTGCTTCTCTTCTACCATATGATTAATTTGTTTGTGCCAGAGTTACTGATGCTTTGTGACCAGAATCATGTCAGGCAGGTCTCAGCAGGTCTGAATCAATATGGTCCTGCGTTGCCACTGCATCATAATTTTAATTGTCCCTTTCTATTACACTTAGCAATCAGATAGCAGGCAAGACTGAAATAACAAGAATAAACTTCTAAAGAGAGAGAAAGGTCCATTTTACAAAATTATAGTGGGAAGAAATCATACTGATTGGAATCTACTTCTGTATTTATGTGCATGTGTATGTTGCTAGACATTCATTTTTTACATTTAATCGTACCAGAACACAGCCACTTATGAAAAAGCCAAGGCCCACACCATCCTGATGTCTTTTGAGAGAGCTGGGACTCTTGCCCAGGACCATCTGAAGTGGAAACAAAACCAAGATGATCATAAAATGACACTCTATGCACTGATTCTAGCCTACCATATTGAACATTTCAGTCTTGCCAGAAATAAAATCCTTTTGTGATGAATCCTTATCGGTCACAATTTACCTTACTTTTCTGACACTTTTTATTTTGATTTTTGTCTTTCCTTAACTAGTCCTTCCCCTCTGAAGGTCTTTTTGTCAATACAGTCTGGCCTTCCATCTCCTCCTGAGTTCCACAGAAGACAACTATCATAATAGCACGTGACTTAACCGATCCACGGCAATGGGCCACACCTCCATAGAGGGGTACACCGAGCAGGCAGCCCCTGCTGTTAGAAGGCAGGTTTTCAGAACTGTGTGAACACTTTTAATATATTACTATTCCTCTGGGAACCAGCTACTTCTCTTCCAACTTCAGAAAACACATAATGGGACTTTGTGTTTCAATTTAACATCCCTTGAAAACGGAAATTTTTCCCCTTATAAGAAAAAAAAATAGAGTAAAGAGGGAGACGAAAGGCAAGAGAGAAATGAATTAGGCAGTCTCCAAAGCACACTGGCTCAACTGGGAAACTGCGACCAAAGCAAGCTCCATAATAGTATAATGACCTTTAATGAGTGTCTTGGGAAACAATACAGCCCTAGCATAAAAGACAAAGGGCAAAACTCATCATGGCTCTGCTGACACTAATTCAAAATGATTTTCAGAACAACTAAAGAATGTAAGAGAAGTAATCTGATCCGCCCATCTGACCTCACTTTGATTCAAGGGCCCTTCTCCTGCCATTTCTAATTGTCAAACCCTCTACATTTCACATCTGTTCATATTTAATGAAAAGCCCACTCTCACCACTGCTCTTGAGTCAACTTGCTCTGTCAAATGGGCACCACCCAACTCCACCACCAGAGAGGGATGCCTGGGGATTGCTATTGGAGCGCTGCCAGTGGAATTTCACGTAGAGACAGACATTTTTTTAATTGGAGAAGAAGGGCTTATGCGGGCCCAAGAAGGGGCTCAAATTGGAATGGATTTTTCTAACTTATTATTAATGGTCAAAGGTGAGTGGTCTCACACAGGGATGGATGAAATCTGCTTTTGTTTGATGGAGTGATGACGGCAGGATGACTGATGAAACGGAGAAGGCAAACCGCCCCCTGAGCTGTCAGTACCAGTTAAGGCTCCAACACACAGCCCAAAGCTCCACGTGTTCCCTGGTGGGGGCTGATTTTGGAGGCACAGGGGGGACAACATGCCACTCACAGAATGTTTCTTATAGAATGGGACAATCCCACCCCAAGATTTTCTTCTCCCTGGTCTCCATCAATGGTTGGATTAAATTGCACAGCTGAGAAATCCCTCTAATTAAGATTTCTCTTGGATATAATGGAAATTATACACACTGGGCACCATGGGGTCTACGTGGGGGACACAGAGTTTGCTGTGATTGGCATTGTTGGCCAGCGCCAGGACATGACCAAGGGGCCCTAGCTCAGAGCCACAGTGGCTCCTTTCTCTTCTCCACTGAATCTAGGCTAAGGTTTTAGAGCCTCATGATTATTTGAGAACAGAAGTTGTGCATTAGGCAGAAGGGTAAGCCAGCGGGGCTTGTGGTTACTTTCACCACCATCAGTCAAAGAGATGTGACCAATTCATGCCACCTCAGGCCCTCCTCTGCTCTTCCTCCCCAGTGCCTATATTTGAACGTGGTATCTTGCCACACATCGTAGACAGACAAGTTCTCTGTGCAGCTGTCTCTGTACTGGCTTATCTCTGTACTGGCATAGGAACTACAGAGAACTCTTCAGGGGAAAATAAAGTGATAAGGATTCATATGGCAGCATCTAAGGATTTTAACAGAAATCTTTCCAAGATTTTAGGCCCATGGGGCAGTCCACACTCCCTCTCAATGCAACCTCCATTAGGTATCACTTTGAAGTGAATCCTTTCCCTTGGCACTGCTCTGGAGCAGCAGGAAATCGTGAATCAGAAAGGATGACTCTCTGGTCCTAGATGAAAGTTTTCCAAATGCCTCCAATACGGCTCGATGCACAGATCATGCTTTGCACTTGAACTTCGGGCCCAAACATAAGCACCTGGCATGGCACACAGTGAAGTCCTGGTTCCTTGAGCCCCAGAGGCCTCATGGATCCCTGCAACACAGCCACACTCCGCTGGGACCAGCCTCAACACCGGCACAGGGGAGTCAAGCCAGTTCATTTTCCATGGGAATAAATGCTTAAGAGCTCAGTGATCTTCTTCCTCTTGTTGTCAGTGTACACCCACCCCTGCTGGGGAAAGTGTAGTTCAACCAGCTCTGAGTACTTGGAAGGCGAGAGGACAGGGAGCAAGAGGTTAGCAATAAATGTGTTGGGTGCTTTAAAGAGGAAGGGAGGAAGTGCAGAAACGAGAAGCATCTCCTACCTTCTATGCTACCAAAACATGAAAACAAAGTTAGTTATACTTCAAGTAAAGTCCTCCAGTGGAACCACAGCCCCTTTGGCACTTGGACCAAGACCCACGGTCCCAGGGTCTCAAACTGGAGCTTTCAGGAACTTCATTTATGAACCATATCAGAAAAACAGCAAAGTCCATGGTGAAGGCAAGGATAAGGGAGGTCTCAGGAAACTGACACATCTCAACCTTGCCAGCTACCAGCTGCATAACCTTGACAGGTTCTTTAACATCTCTGAGCTTGTGGATGACAAAGAAGACTGACATCAGAGGCCTGTGCTATGGACTCGGGGAAATCACAGAGGTTTCTGACTTAAATTTTTTGTTGGCATTTGGAATCACAATTGCTACAAGATACCTTAGTTAAACAGGGGCTATACTATTGGAAAAATAAAATATATTAATGGAATAGTCCTTCAAAATAGTCATCTTTCTGAGAAAAAGCTCTGGAATCCACTAGCCCAATGCAGGCTGACAGACATAGAATACTCTTTTCCAGAACAAAAGACAAAATCTGGCACGGGAGGAATGAGGCACAGGTTAGAGAGACACCGTAAAAAGAAAAAAAAAAATACATACATACATATATATATATCCATCTGCATCAAAACTGTTATATTTTGGAAGCTATCTAAGAAACTATCTAAGCTCACTAAAAGCAATTTAATTCTAGAGCTGGCTTGTTCTCGCTACACCCTTTCCTTCCTCCCTTTGATACAATTCAATTTACAGCCATTTCAAAAATATTAAGATGTACACTTCCGCATATCTCTGTATCAATACAGTAGGTGATATGCTGTCACTTTAATTTCCATTTACATTTATTTAAAGGAGAGAGAGGAAAGATATCACCAGACTGTAATACCACAGTCCTGCACGCTATTACGAGAAGCACAAGTTAAGAAAATCAGAAGGGAGGCCTTCCTCAGCACGTATACAGAGACACAGGCAGCTGGGGCAACATGTCACCACACAGCAGTTCACACTGGGAAGAAGACATCAGCCCGACTGACTCAGAACCACAGGGCACAGCACAAGACAGGGATGATACCACAGACAGCACAAACATGGAACTACATGTGTTGAGGTTAAACTTACAGGCACGGAAACTGGTGGAGCAATCATTAACAGAGACAGAAGAAAGTGGGAAGGCTCTCTCAAGGGTGTCCACGTTACCACGCACACGGCCTGACATGCACGAGCAGTCACGCTCAGAACGTCCGCAATCAAAACAACATGCCCGTCTCATTCTCTTGTAGATGGACATCTTGGCTATAACCGTGTGGTTGGATGGGAGGAGAGGAAGAGCGGCAATTAATGGCAAGGTCACACACAGCAAGGCAGCTGGAAGGGAGCTGAAGGGATTTAACACAGGTCTTAGTTCACTTTAACAGTCTTGACCCAGAAAAAAAATGCAGAGTGATTGTTGGTAACAGTTTGGTTGTACATCAAAAAAGCAGCGAAAATATAAATTGTCTTTATCGTCCCCCAAGGCTGTTGCACATGATTTTTCTCCCCTAGGTAAAGCGGTGACCACAGGAAAAGGGTATGGCTGAATACACTCAGGTTCTCAGATGGGAAGAAGAGCAAATTATCAACAGCAAAAAATGTAACCAACACTTTTCCCCTGGTATGATTAATACAGGAGGACAAAATACACACACTGCCAATCAATTAAATTAGTTGCTTATTTGGTATAATAAATGGTTTTTGCAAGAGGCAAAAATATCTAATATGTAGGCTTTCTAATTTCCATCCATTTCTGGGCATTAGGCAGAGGCTGGGATAAGCTTTCATCAAATTAGATGTGAAACGATTACGTGTTAATATACAATCTGAGGATGCCTTTGCTGAACTTCCCGAGAGTGAGTTTACATGATGGCTACAGGAATTTAAATTTACTCTTGACAGAACAAATATCCAAATCTGTCCGTATAAGAAATGCAGCTACTCAAGACTAATGCTGCAGATTTGACATTAAAGGCAGTTCACAAATAAGAAATCACCAAAAGCATATGAGATGTTGCTCTATTGGAATGCATTTAGCTACTCATGGGTGTATTTTCTGCTTAAAGCTGAGAGGATCTGAAAATCGCATCTGCCTTTCTCTCCCCACCAAATAGAAATTCAGGAAGCAATCAGGCTATTGGTTAATCATATTCTTTTTTTTTTTTCCTTGTACAGAAAATATTTGCCAAAATCGATTAAAACTGACAAAACATGAAATAAAAGAATAGGTTCCATGTGAAATATCTTAATGCAATTTGCATGCAGCATTGATAGCTCTTCTAAAGCTGGTATGGTAGGTTCTGCACTGCCTGGGGATCCAAACTGAGTGGTAACCTATAAAAGTTGTTGGAAGTCAGCATCGTAGTTTCCAATGCGCTTCACCTTTGCCTTTCAAGCCAATTTATATTTCAGTACAAGAGAAGGTTTTTGTACCTCACTTTGATGCTACAACAGGCAAACATGTTTGCTTATCACTTAGCATGAACTGGCCTGCTTCTCTCACAAGGTAGGAGAAGAATTCACATTTATTCTAAGCATTACTGCCAAATAGTAAACCTAAACTGAGGAGGTGTTATTCCCTGCATCCACACCTTCCATTTTGAAAGTCATTTCCCCCCCTCTTTCTTTTTCTTTGTAGAGAATGGTTGCACTCTTATTTTAAAATATGGCTTGTGGTTTTGCCCTCTTTGAATGTTACAGTCACCAGGAAGAGGGGTTTAAATCTCTCAAATGGGTCAAGTCCTGTTCTAAGACCTTTATGACTTGCCATACAGTATATTTGTCAAGCAAGGGTAACGTTATGATTGTGAAGAACAGGCACTGGGGGAGATGAATGAGAGATCTCTTCAGCAGCAACTCCATTCTTGTAAACTTGGCTCACATTTTTAGTGACATGTTCTTTTAGTGTCCTCGCTAGTCTGTTGTTCAGATCATCATGCAGCCCCAGCCCTGTTCAATGGTGGTATATCATTCCTTTGAGCTTTAGCTTTGACCAAAAAAATAAATAAATAAATAAATAAATAAATAAAAGTTCCACTATAGCATTTGAATCAGAGGAATTTAGAAGGCATGGTGTGAATGCCCAGACATCCCAAACAAACAGCAATGGCTGAAGTCAAGAAAGGGAAAAAAGTCTTCAATTAAAGACATGAACATAAATTTATCTTAAATGCATCCGGATCTGGCATACAATCTGCAGGCATTCCCTTGTTTTCTCCTTCTTATTTCTTTTACTGGAAATATTGATTTGTTATTTACACAGAAGAGGAAAACAAGGATGATTTTTTGTTTCATCATAGAAAATCGTTTTGAAAAACAATTTTTTTAATCAAATGCTGTAGCAGAAGAGAAGCCCATCAAACTCTGGAATGCTATGCTTCTCATTAGCAACAGTCCCTGGTTTTCATTTCCATACTGCCATTTTGGGTTTATATACAATAATAGAATCTGACACATTTATGGGGAAAGAAAGTTCTTATAAATATACCATCTTTAAGGATAAGGGGAAGGATGATGGAGATGAAATAACTTTTGAAACTATTTGTTCAGAGGTAAATGGATCAGAATGGGTGATGTAAACCTCCTACTTGATATGAGTTCAGGAGGAAACACAGCGACAAACCAGTGGCTCTCAGGGACTGTTTGCAACTGTTATTGTTAGCTGTTCTGGTGACCATGCATTGTTCTAAAATTTCTTATTGTTAGCATGCAGGAACAGGCTGAAACTGGTAATCGAAGCAGCAAAAAACCATTTGCTATAAGAAGATTAACTGTTAATTATAAGCAGTCACATTCCAAAGCAGCATATGCATAAAAAAGAAAACATGCTATTACTCGTCATTCCTTCCCAATCATTTTTACACTCACACCAAATGCAAAATAGAAATCTCAAAAGACAAACAAGTACCACCACCACCATCACCACACACACACACAAAGAAAAAAAAAATCAGCAAGAACGATCAATGAGAGGCTCAAAGACAAGACAGAAACAGTTAAAAACTATTGAGCCCCACATGTTGACAAACCTTCAGGAATCAGAATGTCTAGATCAAGGTGCCACCAACTGGGAAGGTGGCTCTTTTTCGCTACTGCTGGCATAGTCCATTTCCATTGACTCCCTGTCAGGTGTCTTCACCTAGAGACTTCTGGGTCCACTTTCTTAAAGGTAAGACCTGGTGGAGCGATTCATCAGGCTTGAAGGATATGAGTACTGGCCAGGAAGAACTCTCCTCTGGGCCATTATTCAAATCATGAACAAGCTCTTTAACTAAAAGCTGATGAGGAGTTGACTCCCTGGTGGTAGATGTTCCAAAAGAATTGAACACTGTCTGTGTAAAATTATACTCTCAAGTTGTAAAATTAAATTATATCAAAGTTAAGTCGTGGACCTCCTAATTTGGAAATTACCACCCCTCATCTCTCTCAACTCTCTCTGGCTTCCTGATCCTTCAATTTTGTTTTAGTGAATCAGGATATTCAGAACCACTGGTGTTTTGTTTCCATTTCTCAGTGGTTGTTTCCTTTTCTAGAGCTGATTTAGGTTAGAACGTTAATTTTAGATACGAAGAGTTCCACTTTAAATTCCCAAGGTTAGGTCTCAAAGTGCAACTTTGAAAGTTTCAGATTTATTAAAACAGAAGTAAATTTCTTATCTACTCCCTGGCCACACAAAGCGTCCTCTCTCCTTTGGTGTTTGCTAATTTTCTTTCTTACATAGTCACCCATTGTTCCCTTACCAAATCCCAATTCTCAGACGTTTTCCCCAGGATGTCAATGGTAATGCAAAGTAGATCTATGAGGACATCTAGTGGATCGATGTGGAAGAGCAGCTAGTTCATGGGCAATTGGAACTAGCCTTTCTCCAAAAGGAGCAGAAAGAGGACCCTGCTGTCTCTGAGAATTGAAATCTGTGCAGTGTCATTTCAATTCAATGGCTTCTCACGATCCACAGCAGATGATTAGGGGTAGGGGGAATGAAAGGGTGAGAGGTCCTAGGAGATGAGCCTAGGGTCTGCAGCCACAGCTGGCACAGTAGGACTATTTCGGTGGCAGCTGACTGGGTCTCCTTTTTAAAGCCCTGCTGCAGCTTCCTGAGACTGGGAGCAGACAAGAGTGTGTCTCTGGCAAGTGTGAATACCGAAGCTACTTGTCATCCCATCTTAGGGCTCTTGAAACTTCATGCTCAATTAATTGCCCCGATAGGCCAACTTCACTCTAGGAAAGCAGAAATACAAGGCTCTAGGGACTCAGTTTACTGTGTGGTCCACTTCATAAAGTTCTTGTTATTGGGCCAGGGCCATGGATTCTATGAGGTTATGTGGTTGCTAAGAATTTGACCCTGGGTCTCATCTTCCTCCGAAGACCTAGGTCCTAGCAGTTTCAGAATTTGAGAAAAAGTTTTTATGTGCTTTTCTTCACCACGGTGAAGTGGATATTCAACCAATATTTCCATTATAACTTCCTAGTACTATTTAGAGACAAAATAAAAGTATTTCCCTAATGGACATCATCAAAACTATCTGTTTACTCTTGAATGTTTAAAACAAAAAGGCTTCTCAGAAGTGTTCTTGGACAACTTTTCCTCTATTCTGAAAGGCCGTGATCATGAGATCAGAAACCTGTTGGAAAGTGGCTGGTGAAGACACAGCTCAGTTACTGCTCTTTCCTTAAGTCAAATGGATAATCAGCTGTCAAACTCAGGTTCTCTGCTGGCTGGCCTTTCTGAGCCAAGCCTGGAATGGAAGGAAGAATTGGATTCCATTCTATCCTCAGCACCATCTGCCTCCTGCATCAGCAACCAAATTGTCAGTCAATTTCCAATTGCAGAATCTTAATTTCCAGGGTGGATTGGAAGGGGCAGAAAAAAGCAGTACTGGACTGAGGGGCCCAAGTTGAGTTTTCCAACTGCTGGGGAAAAATATTTTAGATTTCAAGTGAAGCAAATTCAAGAGAAGACTGGGATGGAAGAAAAAAACATCTGCCATTCAATCAACAGATACTTCTCAGGTCACAACCTCACTTTTAAAATCAGTCAAATGAAGGAGGGATTATTTCCAAGCATAAACCCTGGAGCTACTCTTCATGGGCTCTGCAGCAACTAACATTACTAATAAAAATATCCACAGAAGAAAAAGTCCACCAGGATTTAAGGTGAGGCCTTTGATGTGGCACTGGGAATCAGAGAATATTCTTTCAAGTCCTATAAATGAGAAATGATATCTTCACTTAGCAAAATTCCTCCCATTACCTTCTGGAGTAAG